GCTGGGGCCAGGAAAGATGAGAAGCAACAGCTAGATAACACAAGCCTGAAACCTTAGAAGTATTATTGTTTGACTGTTACTTCAAAATGTTCTAGCCCAAGCTGACACAAAACAACATCTCAGTTGAAGATGCATGAGGCAATTTGCTTAGGAATGAATGAATGTAGATTTCCTGCTGGATCCATCTACCAGTTGCTTTCAGAACAGCAGGAAGATCATCTGTATGTTTGCAAGCAATTAGTAGCATCTTAATTGCTGCACTACTCATTGAAATATTTTCAGATTAAGAATTACTCCCTCACCCCAAAGCCAGAAGAGTTTCTGATTTGAGAAGTCTCAGCTTCAGAGGAATTCCCACACCTTGAGCTTGTGTATACAAGGGGGCAGCCAGTAACAGCAAATTCCTGTTTACATGTAGATCCCAAAACAAACAGTCCCAGTTACAAACAAACAGCATATTTGCTCAATCTTTTACTTACCCTTCAAAGACTACTTATCTCCACTTTCAAATGACAACATTTTTCTGTTAGACAGTACTTTTTCTTCCCAAATATTTCTTACTGAAAATCTGAAATTATTTGTAGGAAAAACCAAACCAAAACAAACAACGCATGCCTACCTCGTTCTTCAGGTGTTAATTCTTCATCCTCTTCGTCCTCCTCACTGCTTTCCTCTTGCTTTGCTATAATCTTAGGTCCTTTACCTTCAGCTGCAGCTGCCAGTCTACATAAAACATGCAATCAAAATGCTGAAGTGGCGAGTTTTGCACCATTTAAAATACATGACATTTCAGAACACTTATACAAACTTTGTTCATTATTTTTGCCATATTTCTGTGTACTAACAACCTGCAAGATGTATAAGGTACCAGTGGCACTATCAAACACAGAAAACTAGTTAATCTGACAATAACAATAGTTTGACTTTTGGGAAACCAGCAGCACCTTTCCATAAAGAAAAACTACTCCAGGAAAGAGAAAGTTATCTTAACATTTAGTCAGTTTTCTATTACAATACTTACTTTTTACTCAGCACATCTGCTTTTAAGGGCTCATTTGATTCTGAATCACTCACTGCATCCTCGTCATTTTCTCCTACCATGCTTGGAAGGCAAACAAAGAAGGGAGCCTTTATCAATAATTCGATACTTTATAAAAAAACTTTTCACGTCTAATTTAAATACTGATATGAATAACTTTATATTCTAGTACACAGATGTTAACTGAAAAAAATAAAATAAATAGAAATCAGATTTATTTATTCCATTCCAAGTCTAAAGCCTGCTGGACATAAACCTTCTAAAAATTGACTCTGTCCTTTCTGACCCTTCTCCTCGATAGCTCTAAGCCTTTATTTAGAACCTTTGTAAATCTGAATATGTTGCATATATCCAGTAGGTCTGTCAGGCAATCAGCTACAGCAAATACCACAACACCCACACTTTTGCTGTAAAAGCACTTTGTCACCTGGCATCATTTAGGACAGCAGTTTAACAAGCCTACCTGTGATAAGGAGTACTTGGCTCATCTATTTTCATCAAGCCATAGTCTTTGCCTGCTGGGTGGTACGTAGCTATGATGTTCATTTCATCCCACTTCTGGGATTTCTTACTGAAATAAGACAACAAAGTTAAATTTTCTTATATCCTAAAAACAATTAGTTCTGTTTGGCCCCAGAAAGGGGATGTTTATAACTTCTTTTGACCTCTACTACATACTATGCACAAGGAATATTTTTATAACACACAGGCATGTTCAAAGTATGGCTATTAAACATTGTTCTATACATACTTTAGTTAAGTCAAATGACAAGTCATCAATGCAACTTGATTTCCCTAGAAATTCCGAACAGCTAAATAAACTCAGTGATCTATAAATGTACTCTTATTTGTATACACACATATATTTTCTCAGGAGACTACCAGTCTTATTCAATCATTGTACCTTAAATGTTTGCTCCTGTTACAAGTTACTACAAAATTACTCTTACTCTTATTTACAACTCAGTACATTTCAACAAAGCCAAATAACTTCCACCCCACCTCTGCTCAGGCAGCTATGATAATTAGCAAAACTGTTGCATAAACAATACCAACCAGCAAATAACTTCCTGCAGGAAAATAAATAGCACTGAACAAGCTGGTTATTAATACTACTTTTGTCCTCCTTCGGTAGAATCATAAACCAGAACTGATTCACTGCTGTAATTAAGCTGAGGGAGATTCAGATTTTACACAGGCACTGGTGATGTTACATTATTTAGAATTTCCTCAATGAATCAGAGAATGTATCACTTTATTTGTATTTGCAGAAACAGAAGTCCACCCAGACTGACAAAATACATAAGCCACAAGGAAAGCAACAGCCTTGTTAGACATGTACAACAGTTGGCTAAAAGACTAACTTAACTACCTTATTTAAACACAGACTGTTCCAGTAACAAATTTCATGCTGTCCATAAAACAAAATTGATAAAGTGAAATTCCAAGCACAAACTAAATTTTACATTTATGGAGAGCATTGCATAATATAACAGGGGGAAAAAAAAGGGGGATTAAAAAAATTGATGTGGGAGTTAATGCTGAATTCTACATGCCATGGACTTATGGTCCAGAAACAAATATGAATGAAGTGAGCTTAATGCCCTTAACATATAGTAATCAATGCCAAACTCTCTACGTTTGAGGTTTCAGATCTGTTCAATCATTTTGTTCAAGCTGTAACACAAGAACTGCAACCTAAGCAGACCACACGTGAGTCAGACTGCCTGCTCTGGCAGGACAGAGAGTCATGAGCTTCACCATGACAAAGCGAGAGCTCTAGTCCAGGAATGACAATTATTCAAACCTATCTATTTAGGAGTCAAAAAATCACCAGCTAAACATCAGCTCAACACCTGCTTAAAGGTCACCTCTGCCTAAGAGAAGATGATCACATGGTTACCTAGTGAGCACATGAGATTTACCAGCCCTAGCAGCTGGACCATGGTCTGCAGCCCCTATAGAGACAGAGCTCAGCTGAAGAGGAAATACAACAGATGGGAGAAACTCCCATCACACACTGTGTTCACCACACTTGCCCAGAGCACATCAAGGGTTAGTGCCTGGGCTCACAACCCAACACCTAAGAATAATATTGGCAACCTCAGAAGAATCTCTCTGGCATAGGCTGCCCTCCAAACCAGAGAGCCTATAGTCAGCAATTCAGTAACTTGGAAAGACAAGACTAGGGAAGATTTTTGTGGTTTAGTTTTTCACACTCATTCCTTTAAACTTAGATTCCAACATTAAAAGCCTCAGCTGTGGAACACCTCCCAAAGCAAAATTTAAAATTCAACTAGGAAAAAAATTATCATTAGTGGAAAACAGACAAACATGTTATTTTACCCCTCCATGTAAAAAGCCATCAGAGGAGGGTGACTAAGTGCTCTTAAAAACACACACCTCCCCTGACTGTCTCCGGTTCAGCGTGCTCAGGCGAGCCTGAACTGCTTAACATTAATGACAGAGCTTAGGACCATCACAGGGAAATGCTTCCTGACATACCTTCAGATACAGAAATATGAAATCTAATCTTCCTTAGGAAAATCGGCTTCAGAAAAAATCTCAGAAACGCTCATTTGCATTCTCTCACACCTTTAAATATATAATAGTCATCTGAGAGCACACCTTGGCAGGTGAGAAGTAAGGAACACCACTCACCTCATCTACTCCTGCCATAGCAGGGGCTCCTCTTGCTGGTTCCAACACAGCTGTTTACACACACACAGTTACTTTGTAAAATGCCAGATCAGGTAATTCACAGGCTCTTACAGGACCCTCAAGAAAAAAAAAACCATGTACCAGGAACGCCAAGAGCACATCTACCATCAAACCATGATCTCAGCTCTCTGCATCCAGTTCCAGTGGCGTCCTAATTTCACAAGCTTCCCTCTCACATCCCATTTTCATCAAGGAAGTTTTCCAAAGAGTTTTATCATCACTAATAACAGTGCAAAGTCAATAAGGATGCAAATACATGAGAGCTCAGCTGAACATCATGCTTTAAAAGATGACAGCTGACACAATGAGCTCTTTCATCTGCAGCTATTTTTAAAGCTATTCTGATCTGAATTTCAATATTAGAAATAAGCAGAGAGGCTGCTGATAGAGGAGCACAAAGAAAACAGGTAACATAAACTAATTTTTAATCTTCAAGGAAAATCACAGCTGTACTGCTCATCATTCTTTTAAATAAAAAATTACTTTTTAAAGTCAGAAATAATACTGATTTAAATGAACTCTTGCCAAACAAAAATAATAAAGCACACAAATCAGCTTTAAATACTGATCTTTCCAGGAAATCTTCTAATGCAGCTTGTCAGGTTTAGCCAATATCCTTTACCTTGCCAAGCAATTTCAGAATTAATCTAATTGACTTTATTGACTCACATTGGTAAACAGAAAAGAGAAGCTGGACTCCTGCCCACTTCACTGCTTGGCAAGAAATTACTGTGTACCACAACAAATACATCGTACACTCAGCTCAACAGTTTGTACTCTAATTTCTGATCATTCTTCAAGACGGTACAAAAGAGGATGCAGAAAATGAGGCCACCAACAGCCAGTTATACCTTACGTCTGCTGTGGTAATAAACACCTTGTGCTACATCATATTAAGAAATAAAAACAGGGAGAAAACCTGCAACATTTGTGTAGTGTCCTGTTGCTTACATTCACCTCCTTCAAAAACATCATTTCATTCCTTCAGCTGCAATAATTTCTCCCTAGAAAGCAGGTGCAGCTAACACAGGCAACAGAGCAAACCAAACCCTTTTAGCTTTTGCCTTGCTGACTTTAGACTACATTCATGACTTAACCAGGCAAGGAGGAAAGGAATATTACCATAATAATGATAATAATAATAAAGTTCCACACCCATTTTATTTTATTATTTTTTCTCTCCTTGCAAGAGTGAGGTCCCACATGAAGAAAACCATCAAAAGCAGTTTTAGAAACACAGAGTTCAGGTCAAATCCTGGTCATCACAATGTGACGAGGGAGTAACATCAGGCAGCATGTACCGGGTGCCAGCATCGGGAAAAGCGCAGGACTCCCAACTGGCCAAGGGCAGCTGCGAGCTGGCTAAAGACCACTTCTTCTGTATTTGGACTAACTCAGCACGTTACAATCAAACCAAGATTTTCTTGTTATTCAAAACGCAAACCATGTGGACAGTGCTTGTGCTCCAGTGTGAGAACTTTGCAGCTGAATCTTGCACAACCAAGAATACATCTAACTTACGTTTCAACCCAGGAGAGGCCTTCTGCCCAGGGACATGCTTGGTCACAGAGAATCACAGAATGTCAGGGATTGGAAGGGACCTCAAAAGATCATCCAGTCCAATCCCCCTGCCAGAGCAGGGACCTAAATGGGATCACACAGGAAGGCGTCCAGGCGGGTCTTGAATGTCTCCAGAGAAGGAGACTCCACACCCTCCCTGGGCAGCCTGTTCCAGGGCTCTGTCACCCTCACTGTAAAGAAGTTTCTTCTCAAGTTTAAGCAGAACCTCCTGTGTTCCAGCTCACACCCATTGCCCCTTGTCCTATCGTTGGGCATCACTGAGAAGAGCCTGGCTCCATCCTCCTGACATTCGCCCTTAACATATTTGTAGACATGGCAAAGCAGATTTCCCAGACTGTAAGGTATCCTCATGGCAACTGTAAAACCTCTGTTTCCCTTTCTGACCGAGCACCCAAAGATAACACCCCTTCTGCTAATGCTCCACACACAGCA